AATTCTGGAGCCTTGTTTTCACCAATTCCTTCAGTGCACCTTGCACTTCTTCCTTCTGTACCATTTGCTCTTGATCATATGCTACCTCTTGAAATGGTTTAACATTGACCATTTCTTTTTGGTACAGTGACTGTGTATTCCTTCAATCTTTTGATGCTTTCTGCATCATTCAATAATTTACCCATAAAATCCTTCAATATAACAAGTCGAGGCTTGAAATTTTTCTTCAGTTCTTTCAGCTTGAGAAATGCTGAGTGTTCTTTCCTTTTGGTTTTCTAACTCCAGGTCTTGCATATTTCATTATAATATTTTACTATGTCTTCTCGAACTGCCCTTTGAAATTTTCTGTTCAGCTCTTTCACCTCATTTCTTCCATTTGCTTTAGCATCTCTACACTGGAGATTTAAGTTTCAGAGTCTCTTCTGACATTCATTTAGGTCTTTTCCTTATTTCTTGTCTTTTTAATGGCCTTTTGCTTTCTTTATGGATGATGTTCTTGATGTCATACCACAACTCTTCTGGTCTTTGGCCATTAATGTCTAATGTATCAAATCTGTTCTTGAGATGATTTCTAAATTCAGATGGGATATGTTCAAGAGCAAGTTTTGTTTGGGCCTACATGTATTTTAACAGCATGGTAATAAAAACAAACACACAAGGAAGATAGTTACCTATAAGTTTATTCTAACTCATGCTAACCCTGTGTAGGTCAGAGTAGAACTTTGTATGTTAGTAATCCCGTATATGTCAGAGTAGAAACACCACAAGGTTTTCAATGGCTGATTTTCCAGAAATAGATCTTCAGGCCTTTCTTTTGAGGTGCCTTTGGGTGGACTCCAGCCTTCAACTTTTTAGTCAGCAGTCAAAGAAATTAGTCATTTGTACCACCCAAAGACTCCAGCAGAAACAGTGGCAAGTGTTTCAGCATAGTGACCAGGCTGGTTAGGTCCAACCCCTGGCTCCACCATTTATTAGCTTAATAAAAACTTATTAAAACTCTTTATAAAACTCGATGTCATCATCTGTAACATGGCAGTAGTTATACTACCTACTCCATGTAGTTCTTGTGAGTGTTAAATAGCATCATTCATGTAAAGGATTATCCTAGCAAACATTCAGTAAATGTTAGCTATTGTTCTTATGATAAAATTTTTGTTGTTAGGCGCTGGTTTTGATTCATAGCAACCTTGTATAGGATTTCCAAGGAGTGGCTGGTGGGTTTGAACCACCTACCTTTCACTTAGCAGTCCAGTGCTTATCCTGTACAGCAGGACTCCTATGATAAAATGTTGTTGTTGTTGTTGTTAAGTGCCGTCAAGTTGGTTCCAACCCACAGCAACCCTGTTTTGGAGGAACAGCTGGCGAGGTTAAACCAGCAACCTTGCGGTTCAAACTGACTTTGCACTCCAGCGCATTAACTCATATATATAATGTTCAGTACATCTTGAGAAGAGAAATTTCTAGGTGCTTCAGTAAGCAGCAGAAAGAAATCTAGCAACATCACAATACCAGGTGATCTTGTATTTTGGAGTGCTTGGGTCTACTTCCTCCTGAGAATGTTTTGATAGCCCACAGTTTGTAGCCTCTTTCAGCGGGATTTATTACCACTTATGACTCAGACTAAAATGCCGTTTACTTAACAAAGCTTTTGTTTTGGGACCACAAATCATTCTAGACAAGAAATAGATTCTTTTGTAAGAGTTTGCATTCAAGGATGCTTTCTCAAGCATGACTCTAAGAACACAATTAACGTGAATGTAATTTACATAGTATTGGGTTTTCAATATGTTTGTGACTTATATTCAGATTTGGAAAGGGACCCTTCTAACTAAGATAGGTGTCTCCTGGAGAAAAGCTTAGGGGTAAGGTGATAATGGTGATCATGACAACTGCAGAAGTATAAGATGGCCCAAGTCTCCTAAGCAAGTTTGAGGAGTGTATAACATTTGTTTTCCTTCCTGGATGAGATTATTCTACTTTCAATTCTCCAAGCTAAATGCACAGTGGATGGTTGCTTGGGTGACAGCCGTAAACGAAGCAGTCTCTTTGCAGCTAACTGAAGGCTTTGTGCACGCAGAAACAGCTTTAATTATAAAAAGTACTTTGGGCTGTGCAACGTTGAAAAATAATCAAGGGAAAAAATCTAAGTAGATGCTGTGTTTAAATGGATCCCTTGTTGAAGTATGGATTGATAGCGATCCCAGAAATCAGTGCATCAGTGTCATAGGATGAAGTTAATTGCTGTTTGGCTCAGTGTTTCTTCAACTGTGTACCAACTCCCTCAGCAAAACACACCATAGGTAAGCCAAATCCCTACTTTTCATTCAGTTTTAGAAAATACGGTACATTATAACTTTTTTTCCCTCCCCAAAGGATCTCCCAGTGGGGAAACATCAGCTAAGGTGATAGAGGAAATGGTATCCTAGTCTCAAATAATTATATCCTAAGAGTTGTTGTAATATGCTAATTTTGACTTTTCAAATATTTAAAAATCTCTTTCAATACTTTATATAAACACCTCCAGATCGTAGGCTAAACTAGCAGTGACAAGAAAATAACACTGAAAATGCTTGCTTCTCCTAAATGATACTAAGGGAATTCATTTTATTTTGGTTTATTTACCTAAATATATGCTAATGCTATGTGGCATAAACTTTTTTGTAACCACTTTAACGTAGTAAGCATGTGTCCTTGGCTGTATTTTCTTAACATAGCAGGAGATTCCAGATGCTTCAAGTTTCAATTATATAAGATTTCAAATCAAGTATACAGTATAATAAAAATATTTTGCTTTACAAGTAGGTAAACCAAACATGCAATTCAATTTTTTAAAAAATAGATCCTCAATCAGCATTAAAATGGATTTTCCTGTGAAATATAACACTATTGCTTAAAATAATTGAGCGAAACAATACTAAGTGGAAAATTGAGAAGTGCTATCTTGTGAAAAAGCCTAGAATGGAAATGTACAGAGTGAAAGTCAGACTGGAAATCACTAACAATAAAACAAGGGTGGGGGGGGGGTCTGTCTACATTAATCAAACAGGCAGTGACCTGTTTATAGGGATACTGCTATACCTTGAGTCAATCTTTATTGTTCTACTCCATTCACTACTTAGTGTGTGACATAATGGATGTCCAACTAATGACCACATTGCTCAGATTTGACATTGGGATTGCAGTGTGGCTCAAATCTTAAACTTTTATTTTATACTGTAGATACTATTTTTTAAAAGTTGCCATTGGGTCAATTCCAACTCACCCCATGTGTGTTAGAGTAGTACTGTGCTCCAAAGGGTTCCAATGGCTGATTTTTCAGAAGTCACCAGTTATGTCTTCCAAGGTGCCTCTGCCAAGATTCCAATCTCCAATGTTCCCATTAGCAACAGAGTGCGTTCACTGTATACATGACCCAGATACTCTGTAGATACCGTATTTCTTGTGAAATGCTCTCATATACAGGTTACATTAAAGAGTTAAATAAAAAATCCATAGCATACATAATTCATCCCATTGCTTGTAGTTTGTTGTTGTTAGGTGCTATCGAGTTGGTACCGACTCATAGTGACCCTATGTACAACAACAGAACAAAGCACTGCCCTACACCAACCGCACAATTGTTGCTATGTTTGAGCCCATTGCAGCTGCCACTGTGCCAATCCATCTTGTTGGGGGTCTTCCACTCTTTCTCCAGCCCTTCACTTTACCAAACATGATATCCTTCTCCAGGGACTGGTCCCTCCTGACAATATGTCCGAAGTATGACAGACAAAGTCTGGCCATTCTAGATTCCAAGAAGCATTCTGGTTGTAGTTCTTCCAACACAGATTGCCATTACTAAGTAATAATTTTCTTGGAGAAAATGCCTGTTAGGTTTTATCTCCACTCTATGAATATGTTAGTGACAAACATATACATTTCTTGCTTTTATTGTTTTGTGCCATCAAATCAGTTACAACTCATAGCAACTCCGTACGGGGTTTCTGAAGCTGTAAACCTTTACAGGAACAGAAAACCTCATCTTTTTCCCTTAGAGCAACTACTGGATTCGAACTGCTGACCTTGCAGTTAACAGCCCAACACATAATACACTATACCTAGTTGTTATTTGAATATCTGATTCTTTGGTTTTTTTAAAAAGTATTTATTGTGAATAGAGTGAAGATTTATAGAGCAGAAAATCAGTTTTACATTCAACAAATTACATGCTTTCTTTTGTCTCAACAATCACAATCTCCCAATGTAATATCACGTATCCTACTTCCTCCCTGTGGTTTTTGTTTTCGTTCCTCCTTCTTTTCCCAACCATTCTGAGCTTTGTCCTTAGGTAAATGCTGCCCTTTTGATCTAGAATGTTTGGCCTTTCTACGGTGTGTGTACCTCACTAGTGTTTTGTCCCTCATATACCTGCTTGACTGAAAATTGAACCAAGGGGGTGAGTTCACTTCCAGACTTGAAGGGTGACCAAGGGCCATAGTCTTGGGATTCCAGCAGTCTGTTTTGAATTTGTTCCACCTTTTCTTTCACTCTATCCAGGACTTTCTAACAAGATCCCTTTTAGAGCAGTTGGTAGTGGTAGCCAGGTACCATCTAATTCAGGGTTGTGGAGACTGATATTCATGTAATCGATTAGTCCATTTAACTACCCAAGCATCACTGAAGGATAAGTTTTAATAACCTTTTGTCTCTAAAGTATTTCTTTTACTTCAAATGATATTGAAAATGCTACTGCTTTTTTTGAAAAAATAAATAAATTGCAAAGCAATTTGCTGGGACAGATATGTGTACAGGTTTTTACACTTTCTGTGAGTGGATTTTGAGTGCATCATCTGCTCCTTCAGCCCCTAGTAAAGTTCCAAGTACACTGCTTATTAAATGCTAATGATTGGTGTCTTCGGCTGGGTTCTCTAGAGAAGCAAAATCAGTGACGCATAAAGACACACACACAAGTATATATCAGGTAAATCATTCACACAGTTTCAAGGCTATGAGTAGGTCAGATGTCACACCGGAAGCGTCTCTTGACTAATGTAGCAGCAAGGGCTGATGAACCCAAGATCCGCAGGTCAGATGGTAGGCTTCTGACTGCAGAAGCGAATCCAACTTCAGCAGGTAAGATGGCAGGTTGCTGCTGATTCCCAAGATTGACAGGTAAAACAGCAGGATACTGTCTACAGTTCAAAGAACCAGAGGTAGGATGACTAGTCAGATGCAGGATCCAGACCCAGTAAAAAGTAAGCAAGATTTGCCTGAGCGCCCAGTATATTGGAAGGCCACACCCTCAAGGAAAATCCCTTTCAATTAATTGGCTGCTCATGGCAGATTTGATTATAGAAGTGATGACATTATATTTTCATCATGGGGGATTACTGTGTCTTGACTGCTAAACCGCTGAGAATGATGGCCCATTCAAGTTGGCAAAAAATCTTGACTATCACAATTGGGATAATGATGATTCAGTGATACTAATCAACAAATAACTGCCTCTCTTAGAAGAGCTTAACGAAAATAGCCATTCACTGCTGGTGGGAGTACAATAGCATGCACATTCTGGGAAACAGTTGGCAGCATTTAGTGAAATTAAATAACTTGATTCAATTTGTCCCAGAGAAACTCTTATACAGCCCATAGCAAGGCTTGAATAAGGATATTTATCATGGTGGTGTCTGTGGCATAGGAAGTTGGAGGCAACTGGGGGAGGTGTAAGTTGCTATTGCGTTATCTCCAACTCATGGTGACTTCATGTGTGTCATAGTAGAATTGTATTCTATAGAATTTTCAATGATTCCTTCTTTGTAAGTAGATTACCAGATCTTCTGTGATTCCTTTGGAAACACTCTAACCTCCACCCTTCCAGTTAGCAGTCAAATTCGTTAACTGTCTGCATAGCCCAGTGACTCCAACCAAAGGAAGGGATAATAAAATACAGTGGATACATACTATTTAGAAGCAAAAAATGAGAGGTACATAGTAAAAAGATCCAATGTGCAATATCATTTGTGTAAATTTAAAACATGTGCACATATAGCATCACCCTATAAAGATACATGCACATAGTAATAACAATAATTTATAAGTGGATACATAGATAGACATTTAAGAGGAACAGAAATGGAAACAGAATGGTATTTACATAGGTTTGATATAGGATATTTCATGTGCTGCAAGTACAGCCAAGAATACAGTACAGCATATAGGAGGCAAAGTTATGAAAACTTCTAAGTCATAACAAAACATCATGAGGGAATGAGTCACTGGGCATGGGGGCTCAGGACAGGAGTCTCGGGGAACACCAAAGTCAAATGGCATAATATAATCCACAAAGACAATGTTCTATTTTCTATTTTGGTGTGTAGCAACTGGAGTCGTAAAGGCTTGTGAGTGTCCCTCTAAGGTGTAATTATTGGTCTCACCCCATCCAGAACAAAAGAGAGAGACGGAAATCAAAGATACATGGAAATAATTAGTCCAAAGGACTGAAAGATCACGTGAACCCCAGCCTCTATGACCTTGTAACCAGAAGAACTAGATAGTGTCCTGCTGACCCCTCTGAATGGTCTCCTAATAGGGGGTCCTGGATAGAGTGGGAGAAAAATGTGCAACAAAACTCCAAATCATAAAAAGACCATTAAGGCTGGTCTTACTGATAGAGACTGATAGAACCCTGAAGATTATGGTCCTTAAATACACTTCAAGCATGGAACCCATCCTCTGTGGCTCAACTTTCATCCAAATGCTAGGCAGGTCTGTAGGATGAACAGCAATACCCCGAAGTATGCAGTACTCCTTAGAACAATCAACCATCTGAGGTCAAAGGGGCAGCATTTTCCAGGAGTGGCTATTGGAAATGGTAAGCATAGGGAGAAAGGAGGAAGGGTGCTGTTACTTTGTTGGTATTACCATCAGTGTTACTAAACAAAATATTATGAATTGTTGAATGGAAACCTATTTACTCTTAACCTTCCACCTAAATCCAAACATGAGAGAGAGGGAGAAAGAGAGATTTAAATGATTGGGAAAATGAAATCAGATATTTACTTGCTCCTCAGAAACCATATACAGGGTCACTGTGGGTCAGAACCAACTCGACAATAACAACAACAACAACAACGACAGCATCTGTGACTCCCATGGTACTTAAATACTTATACTGTGTTACAATTATGGAAGATAAAAAATATAAGACATAGAACGTTCCTGCTATTTAGGATTTTACAGTATGGGAAAATAAAGGAAACAATTATACAGAACTATGAAAGCAATGTGGAGTCCTGGTGTGGTGCTGTGAGTTAATGTGCTGGACTTCAAGGTCGATTTGAATCTCAAGGTCGGAAGTTCAAGCTCACCAGCCACTCCTTGAAACTCTATAAAGGGTGGCTATGAGTTGGAACTGACTTGACGGCACTTCACAACAACAAACGTAAGCAATGTAAGTCATATAAACTATGTAAGCCATGGTGTATCCAATTTCATCAGATGCATGTGAAAGAAGACCATAGAAGAACTGATGCATTTGAGTTATGGTGCTGGAGAACAATATTGAAAAGTGCCATGGACTGTCAGAAGAACAAACTAATCTGTATTGGAAGATGTACAGCCAGAGTGCTCCTTAGCCGCCAAGACGGGAAGATATTCTCTCTCATACTTCTGACATGTTAGCAGAAGGGACCAGTCCCTGGAGGAGGACATTAAGCTTGACTAAGTGGAGGGTCAGCGAAAAAGAACCCCCCCCCAACAAGATGGATTGAACCAGTGGCAGCAGCAATGGTCTCAAGCGTAACAACAATTGTGAGCGTGGCACAGAACAAGGCAGTGTTTTGTTATGTTGTGCGTAGGGTTGCTATGAGTCAGAACCAACTTGACAGCACCAAACAACAGCAGTACATAAGCAACAAGAAAGAAAATAAAATCCTACAGGATTTTCCCCCTATAGAATTTGCATAACATTTCAGGTCCTCACTAGCCTTTTGAAGAGGACATATCATTTCCATTTTTGAAATGAAGCTCAGATAAGCTGAACAACATGCCAAAGGGTGCACAGTTGGCAAGCTGCAAATAAAGGACTTGAATCTCGGTCCTATCAGGCTCCAAAGCCTGTCTGTGATCATTCCATTCTGGTGTTGATCCATCCTTTCTCTCCCTACAGTAGAGATGACCTTCCAAAGTGACAGTAAAGCTATTATCATTCCTAATAATCAAAGGAAACAGGTAACCTTTTTCCTTTGATTAATAAGTTACATTTGAACCACTCATTGCTTTTTGGGTCTCACATAAGTAAATTCGTTATTTTTTCTCTTAAAGGCAATTATATGGGACTAGAAAGATGAATAAAAATAAACTGATTCATGATTTCCTGGAGGTAGTTTCAAAAGGTGATGTGGAAGTCATCTGTGACCATATTACAAAAGTCCACTCCATGCTTGGCAGTCTTGACTTTCAGCACCCAACGACTGGAAATACACCTCTCATCACTGCAGCAGAAGAAAATTTAACAGAGGTAACATGTGGAATCCTGAGTCCCGAGAATATTCTAGGCTAAGTATTCTGAGAATGAGAAGTTTGGGCTAGCATAATCACCCATATCCGTGCAAGAATGTTAACAGGTGCAAAGCAGGGAGGGAGGGAGAACTGGGAGACCCTAATTAATCTATCTGAGACTCATCTTTATTAATTTCCTTACTCAGTCAACAGATATACCTGCCATACCCCTGCAGTATAGTAGTTTTCATAGTGGATACAGAAATGAATCACATACAGATACCACCACTGTGGGACTTACAGCCGAACGAAGTTTTTCCTTTCCTACTTCTCCCATATCAGCACCTGGAAATTTATTCTCTGCTTTAACAAATGCACATAGCTGGTGAAGTAGAAAAAGGTATAAATAAATGAATAATAAGACCTAAAAGGGCAGGAGACTGTTCTCATTGTTGAAACTGTATTCCCAGTTATAAGCAGAAGGCCTGATATATGTAGGTGTTTAGTAAATATTTATTTAATGGATAGACAAGTAAATAAAATACCAGTTGGGTCTTATTAGTCATTTACAGCATAGTGTGGGAGATTCTGAGGTCCATTTTTATTAATGCATTTTCTTTATTATGGTGAAACATCAAAAGTTTCATGGGAAAATTCCATTATCTTTTAATTCCATGTTTCCACAAACATTGTGAAGCCCCCTCTGTGTGTGTATGTGTGTAAGAAAACATTTGCCATTTTAACATTTTTCACATGCACAATTCAGTGACATCAATTACTTTCATCTTGTTGTGCAACCCTTTCCAGATTTTTCCATCACCATGACAGAACTTTAGTGCCCCTTAAAGTAGGAGTTCCCTCTTCCTCCTTCCTTTCCATGCCTCATAGCCACTGACAACTACTTATTACTATACATTTGCCTATTATAGTTACTTCATGTAGTGAGGTCATACAATTCTTGTCCCTTTTTGACTGATTTATTTCACTTAGCATAATATTTTCAAAGTTCACCCAAGTGAACAGTTGCCCTCTTTATACAGGATGGCTGTCAGTTAGAATCAACTTGATGACAGTGAGTTTGGTTTTGGTTTAGTTTGAACAGGACTTCAGTGTTTTATATGAATTTAACATATCCTAAAAAACGGCATCTAAAAATCAGCGATATTTTGCTCATGTTTTATTTTCCAAATTTAAAAAGGAAAATAGCGATCACTGACATCCAAACCAATCCTTCATTTTTTTTTAAAGTTTTATTGTGAATTATATGATAGTTTACATGGGAGAACTTTAGCTGTACATTCATTCCATTGTATATCATCTCATTGCCATGGTTCCAATCCCCTCCATGCATCCAATCCTTCATTTTTATTTGCATCTCCTTCTCCTTTCTTATGCCATGGATCAGAGCCACGTCCAAGTCGGTTTATCATATCCAGGTCTAAAGACACTGTGGGCACACAAATATGCTTATACTTGTTGTGGTGTTGCAGGTTGTTGGATTTCTTCTGGAAAAAGGAGCAGATATCACCCTTTGCAACTACAGCAATCAAACGGCAGTCCACGTAGCTAACTGCTCTATCCAAAAACAGCTTCTCTTGGCCACTCATGGAATCCAGGCTCCCCAAATGCAACTTCTACAAAGTTCATGGAAAGGTGATCTCAAACAACTTCAACACTTGCTGGTTAGTTAAATTCATGCTTGCTTTTGCTCTTAGGTGGGTGATAAGAAAGTTACAAATGACATATGATGCCTTTAAAAATATAAGTTCTTTGCAAATACAGTTTCAGAATGTTTTAGGCTGGAAATACGAGAAAGAACCAGGATTATATAAAACACCGGAGTGGAAAAAAAAGATAATAAAAGTTCACAACAGCAGCCTATTTCCATCTTCCTTCATCTAGAAGCTAGAACAAGTCACATAGCACTCCTGGGAAATGATGTGCTCCCAGGAAGTCCCAAGAGGACCGCTGTCAACTTGCTCAAAGGGGTTCCCTTGACATCATTGCCATTTGTACAATTGCTGGTTAGATCCCTTTGGGCCAGTTGCAGTTATTATCTTTATCCTGAAAAGGGAATCAGAGAGCCTATGCCTTGCACAATATTTAGCTGTGACTAAAGGAGTCAAGAGGAAATGTATTTTAAATGTTGTCTTCTTAGGGTATTTGTCCTCTTGTTTAGATTTTCTACCTGTAAGTACTTTTCCCCAAAGCAACCTATAAAATCATATGCATAGCCAAGGACATTAATTATTGGTGACTGGAAAACGCATACCCGTGGTATTTACCTACAAAGATACTGTTAAGTCACATGACCTTACAACTGAAAAAAAAAAAAAAAAATTAATTGCTGCTAGGAAACAGTTTCTTCCATTCCCTCTGGTAAAAATGCAAACAGATAAAGAAAAGTGGAAGGTATTCGAGTAGCTCCATAGAATAAGCACTTGATCTCAAGGTTGGTGATTCAAACTCACCAGTCACTCCTCAGAAACCCTATAGAGTGTTGCTATGAGTTGGAATCAACTTGACAGCACTTAACAACAACAACAACAACAATTCAAGGGTATGGGAAAAAAAGGAAAACCAGTTAGTATCAAATCAATTTCAACTCATGGCAACTCCAGAGCAGAATTGTGCTTCAATGGCTATAACCTTTCAGAAGTAAATCAACAGGTCTTGTTTCCACAGTGCCTCTGGGCAGATTCGAACAACCAACCCTTCAGTTAGTAGGCGGTGATTAACTGTTAGCACTACTCAGATACTTCACGGATATTTAAAAACAAAATCTAAAGGAATCTTTAGGGAGTGCTGTGGCTCCATAGGATAAGCACTGAACCGTGAACCACAAGGTCAGTGGTTCAAGCCCACCAGACTGTGTGGGAGATAGATGCAGCCTCCTGCACCTGCAAAAGATTGAAAGCCTCAGAAACCCTAGGCAAGGATGCTATAGTTTGAAATCAATTCCATGGTACTTAACAACAATAAGAAAGGAATCTTCAAATTATTCTTTTTTACTAAATGGTAGAGTTCTGGTGTGGTACTGTAGGGATAAGTACTGTACTACAAAGTTGGTTTGAACAGCAAGTTTGGCGGTTCAAATCCACCACTTGCTCCTTGAAAATCCTGTACAGGGTCACTGTAAATTGGTACACACTTGATGGCATTTAACAACAGCAACAAAATGGTAGTCTGAAATTTTACACATCATGATCTGAGCTGAGACTTTTTAAAAAGACATTGCATTTTTATGATAATTGTGACAGCTGTGATTGTATTATAATCCAATGTGTGCTTTCATAGCCACATTTTTTTACACCTAAGAATTGGTGGTTATGTGCTATGGAATCAGTTCCGACTCATAGCGACACTGTTTAGGATTTCTGAGGCTTTCAAATCTTTACGAGAGCAGAAAGCCTCATCTTTCTCCCATGGAACAGCTGGTAGTTTTGAACTGCTGACCTTGAGGTTAGCAGCCCGACTCATAACCACTATGCCACCAGAGCTCTTTGCCTAAGGCTTAGCAGCTGCATATTAACAAACTGGTCCTATAACTGGATCCAGTGTTTAATCACTAGATATTAAAAGAATGTGTTGCGGTAAGACTATTTTCAGCTCAAAATTTTCATGTTTGTCCTAACTAATAATAAACATTGATATAAGAGGTGATTTCTTTTCAGAGACTGAAACAAATATTAACTAATTAATTCCCACAACACCTGTCTGAGGTAATATCATTATCTCTATTTTGTCCCTGGAGAAGTTGAGATAGAGACTCTCTGACTATACTGAAATGATAGAAAGTGAAATTGAGATGGAAATTAGTAAATTGCTTTGGTTTATACGATAAAAAGGTTGGATAATCTAGCCTTAAAGTAGCATTTTCAGTTCTGAATTATCCAAATTAAATTTCCCTTTCCATAAAATAAAGTATCAACCTCAATTTACCTGTATATAGTTAAATGAGCTGCTTTATTATTGTGAATCATTCAGTCATTCAACAAATACGTACTGAAGACCTGAACACGTATATATCAGATACTCTACTAAATGGTTTTCAGAGTCTACCGCTAACTGTTTAAGCAGGAATTCTTGAGTGGTACAGATAAGCACTCGACTACTAGCCAAAAAGTTGGTGGTTCAAATTCAACCAGAGGCACTTTGGAAAACAGGTCTGGTGGTCTGTTTCTGAAGTCTTGGCCTTGAAAACTCTGTAGAAAGGTTCTCGTCTAAACACACGGGGTCACCGTGAGTTGGAAATGACTGAAAGGCAACTAGCACAACAGCGTCTGCTGCTGTGTGCCCTGGAACGCCTTCCGACTCATAGAGACCTTGCATAGTGTTTCCGAGACTGTAAATCTAACAGCACCCAATAAAACAATCCTGAAAGGAAGACTCTCTAGTCTTCCTACTCTGCAGTTAGAAAGGGAGTGGAATTGACAGATTAAAAAAAAAAAAAAAGTTATAGTATTAGTATGTCCCATTGAAAATTATTAATCGTTTAACTGGATGTCCCTAATTTGGCAACCCTATCAAGGAAGTTAAACAACCAGGTTAAGGAGACAGGTTTCCGACCCTGGTCTCCTGTCTTGCCAGTCTATATTCTTTCATCTCATTAGCTTCCTCTCAGAAGAGATATCAAGAGAGTATATACTGATGTTAGGATGAGAAATTGGCCATGCAATGAAAATGCAAATATTTGTATAAATAAGCAAATAATAAAAACATAATAAACATAAAGCTTCATTTTTAAAAAAGGCATCAGAGAAGGTCCTGGATATCAACTTCCCAAACCAGCATGGCTTGACCGCCCTGATGTTGGCTGTGAGAGACGTGGACCTATTTGAGAGTCTCGACATGCTAACAATCTACAGGCCTGTGGAAGTTCTGTCCGAGCTCCTCAGACATCGCGCGTGAGTATAACTCCATACCAGCTGGAGGGCATCGATTTCATTGTTATTCACGGACATAAAAGGGATTTCATAATTGCAAAGTGATGGACAGAAGTTCGATACTAGTATATTACTATCTATTATTCTTATGACATCCAGCTCTTTACTTATTCATTTAAATAATGGGAATGTCGAATAATTCTTATGTAGCTCCCCACCTCCACAATGTTAACTAATTATTTCTGAAAACATCCCTTTCAAAGCCAATTTATAACAGTGATTTCCATTTATCTAAAAATTACTCTGGTAGCGTAGTGGTTATGAATCGGCATGCTAACCTCAAGGTAGGCAGTTCGAAACTACCAGCTGTTCTGCGGTAGAAAGATGAGGCTTTCTGCTCCCGTAAAGATTTACAGCTTCAGAAACTCTGTACAGGGTCGCTATGGGTCAGAACAGACTCTACAGCACTTAACAACAACAACAACAATTACTATATGCCACCATGCTATTTCAGGAGAGAGGAGGTAAGCAATTAACTTAAACAACAACAATATCAAACCAGCAGCAGAAGGTTAATAAACAGTCTCCCTTGTTAGATTTACCCATTCCATTGGGTCACCTCTCTTTGGAATAGGCGCAAATATGGATCTCTTCCAATTGGTTGGTCAGGTAACTATCTTCCAAATTTCTTGGCAGAGATGAGTGAGTGCCTCTAATGCTTCATCTGTTTGTTGAAGTGTTTCAATTCCTGTAGTCTTATTTCTCACCAATGCCTTCAGGGCAGCTTGGACTTCTTTCTTCAGTACCAGCAGTTCTTGATCATATGCTACCTCTTAAAATGGTTGTATATCGACCATTTCTTTTTGGTACTGTGACTGTTTTCCTTCCATCTTATTTTCATACTTTCTGCATAATTCCATATTTTGCCCATAGAGTTCATCAATATTGTGAGTTGAGGCTTGAATGTTTTCTTCAGTCCTTTCAGCATGAGAAATGCTCAGTTTGTTCATCCTTTTTGGTTTTCTAACTCCAGGTCATTACACATTTCATTATAATACTTGACTGTCTTCATCTTTTAAAGTTTTCTGTTCAGCTCTTTTACTTCCTCATTTCTTCCATTTGCTTTAGCATCTTTACACTGAATAGCAAGATTCAGAGTCTCTTCTGACATTCATTTTATTTTTCTTTCCTGTTTTTTTTTAGTGAGCTTTTGCTTTCTACCTGTATGATGTTCTTGATGTCATTCCATAGCTCGTCTTCGGTCACTAGTGTCTAATGCATCAAATCTGTTTTTGAGATGACCTCCAAATTCAGGTGGGATATGTTCAAGGTCATGTTTTGGTTCTTGTAGATTTGTTTTCATTTTCTTCAACTTCAGCTTGAATTTGCATATGTGTAATTGATGTTCTATTCCACAGTCTGTCCTTGGTCTTGTTTGGCTGATGATATAGAGCTTTTCCACAGTCTCTTCCCACAGATGTAGTCAATTTGATTTCTGTGTATTCCATCTGGTGAGGTCCATGTATATAGTTGCATTTTATGTTGTTTTAAAATGTATTTGCGATGAATAAGTCATTGGTATTGCAAAATTCTTTATGTGATCGCCAGCATCATTTCTATCACCAAGGCCATAATTCCCAACTATTGAGCCTTCCACTTTGCTTCCAACCTTCACATTCCAGTCACTAGTACTTATAAGTACACCTTGATTGCATGTTGATCAATTTCAAAGTGATGGAGTTGGTAGAATTTTTCAATTTTATCATCACTGGCTTTAATGGTTGGTGCATAAATCTGAATAATAGTGGTATTAACTAGTCTTCTTTGTAGGCATTTGGATATCATCCTATCACAGACAGCACTGTACTTCAAGTTAGGTCTTGAAATGATGTTTTTGGCGATGAATGCCATGTCATTCCTCTTGAATTTTTTGTTCTTAACATTATAAACCATATGACTGTCAGATTCAGAATGAACAATACCTGTCCATTTCAACTCACTAATACCTAGGATATTGATGTGCATGTATTCCACTTCATTTCTGACAACTTCTAGTTTTCCTAAATTCATAGTTCACGTATTCCATGAACTGATTATTAATGGGTACTTGCATTGTTTCTTCTCATTTTAAGTTGTGTTCCATCAGCAAATGAAGGCCCAGAAAGCTTTACTCCATTCATGTCATCATGGTCATCTCTGGCATGTCATCATGGCAGCTCTTCCCTGGAGTATTTTCAGTGCCTTCCAACCTGAGGGACTCATCTTCTGGCTCTGTATCAGAAAATGTTCCACTGCTATTCATAATGTCTTAGGTGGCTAAACATTCAGAAGTAGTCCAACTCTCCTTCTTTCTAGCCTGGAAACTCCTCTGAAATTTGTTCACCATAGGTGACCCTGCTGGTATTTAAAATACCAGTTGCATAGCTTCCAGCATCACAGCAACACTCAAACCACCACAGTATGACAAACTGACAAATAGTGGTGAATCAAGAACATGAGCTCTTGTAAGAAACAAAAACCAACCAGATGTCATTGAGTCGTTTCTGACTTATGGTACCTTATGTAGTCAGAACAGAACTGTGCTCCATAGGGTTTTCAGTGGCTGAATTTTCAGAAGTTCATCTCCAGTCCTTTCTTCCCAGGGACCTTTGGGTTAATTTGATCTACCAACCTCTTGGTTAGTAGCTGAACGTTTAACCCTTTGTACAACCCAGGGCTCCATTAATTTCATAGGATAAAAATGATATCTTGACGCAATGAACTTTAATGGTCAAAACACCTGGGGAGATTGCTAAAATGAAGATTCCTAGTTACTACCCCAGAGACAGTGTCCAATAAGTCTGGTGTAGGGTCCAGAATACAGGAAATTAAAGGACACCACTTGGAGAAACACTAATCTAGGCAGATGAACAAACTGAGGTCTCAGTGAGTTTCATGACTTGATTAAAACCACACAACAGGGCAGTGTCAGTACTTAATTCCTAGTTGTGCTTTGTTTCCTTTGAACTATGACATTTGATCAAGAAAAGGCCAGAAGAGAATATTGTTGTGGATCACAACATATTCCTTTTGGTTCTATGTGAGACCATGATCCTTGTCTCTTGTCCCAGCATGTGATCTGTGAAATAAGTGTTATCATTATTTCCCTCACTATAATCCATTACAGGATTTTCATCATTGACTTCAGATCTCTTTGAACTAGTATCTAATCATAGGATTCCGTACAGTACAGGAGGACAGCAGGATATTTGTGCTGTTTGTTATAAGCCTTACAGTCAGCCAGCTAGGATATAGAACCACAGAGCAAAGCAAAGAGGAATGGAAAGATGAGGTTCAGAGGAAAATTTTGGTGTTTATGTCCACTTAGCCAAGAGCCTGTGAAACAAGCATATTGGCTTATTTAAAGAGAGTCTATGCTGCTCTACATGTTCAATGAAAAAAGATCCAGCTGTTGCCATAAGAAGAAGCAACTATTGCAAGCCCATGTGTATCAAAGTAAAACTGTGCTCCAGAGGGCTTTCAATAGTAGAACTGTGCTCCAGAGGGCTTTCAACGGTGGATTTTTCTGAAGTAAATCACCAGCCCTTTCTTCTGAGGCCCCTGGGTGGATCCAAATGTTCGCCAGTCTCTGCTGTAAAGAAAACTGACTCACACATGGATACATGTATTCTGCTAAGACTGCTGTTTTAACAAATACTGGGTGTTTCTGTCTAAAAACAGAAAAAATGAGCTATCAAGAAAGTAAGCAGTTCAATGATATCATCGGAAAGAAAATAAAACAGTCAAAATTTTTTTCAGATAAAAAAACAATAAACCATTAAGATAATTTCTTCCTGATTTATACAGTCTTAAAAAGTTATTTAAAATTTTGTCCAAAGTTGAGAAATGTCTTCAGATAGTCGAATTCTTTAGAATGGTATAGGAATAAGATATAGAGCATAATACTTTTGTTTAAGCATTTTTATTGTGTTTTTCTGAAATCATTATAAATATACTCAAACGTCATAAAATTTATTTTGCTTACATGCTGTCGATGTTTTCTTTCTGTCATACTGATTTTATTTTTCAGTAGATTCAACTATATAATCTTTACTGTCTTCTTTATAGAGATCCTAAACTCTGTGATTTTAGAGGAAAGTCAGCGATACATTATGTGTCACAAATAAAGAGTTTGAGGAAACAACAGTTACTGGACATTCTAATGAATTCTATGCCAAAACCAGGTGAGTAGTTCCTCTCCATGTACATAAATCCCTACCCATAAAGAGCCGATCAGAAAACTTTCTTTATCTCTGTAGAAGAATCCTGAATAAAAGTGGGGGAAACACAGAAAAGAATATAAAATTCTTATGAGATCCAGACTTTCTCTATCCAGGGAGACTAGATGAATCCCCAAAAATAATTGTCCTGAGATAATCTTTAAACCTTTAATCAAAAATATCCCTAAAGTCTTAGGACCAAACAATGGTTTAGCTTAATTAGTAAAGAATGTGTTTGCTTCAGCAATATGTATATGGGGTCAAATATCCGAATGTTGTGGTGGTGTTGTCAAGTGCCCGTGAGTGAGTTTCGACTCATAGAGACCCTGTATAGGGTTTCCAAGGAGTGATTGGTGAATTTGAACTGCCAATGTTGTGATTTAAACAGACCTTGCAATCCAGTGTTTTATCCAACAGCGTAATACCAGGACTCCAACTTGAAAAATTCAATAGGAAACTTAGGGGACCATGAGTTTCTATCTCAGAAAGGTGGGTGAAAATGATTGCACAATTTGAAGAATGTCATCAATGCCACCAAATTGTAAATGTAGAAATTGTGCTGTGTATACTCTCAAAAACAGCAACAAAATAAAGTGAGAAACTATAAAATAAAAAGAGAAAGGTTTCTTTCTCTACATCTGTTTGATAAATTCATTTCAAGAAATCAAGCCAACAATTATTTATTGAGCAGCAACTTTGGACAAGTGGCATGAGTAGGGATGCAAAGAGATGCAAGACACAATCCCAAATTCCCAAAGTGTACAGGCTACTTGGGGACACACTCAAGTCAGTGGGAAGAGCTTGCTGTGAACTTGGCAGGGAGAGAGGGACTTACAGTGGTTCTTGAAGATTAGATCAGATACAAAAGGAAGTGAAAAAAAACAAAAGAGGGACGCTTGCTACCGATGAGGAGAAATGTCTGAAACAACCACAGAGAAAAGTACAAGAAAAACTGTCACTGAGCAGCATGTGACTTTGTGAAAAGGGGATTGGCTCTTTGTTTGAAGCTTCTAGATCAGGAGCAAGGCTACATCACCTAAGAATTGAAGACTCACGCCTCCTTTCCACTGGGGTTCTAAATACCCAGTGAGACTGAGACTGTGAGCTCTATCAAAAGCTCAGGCAAGTAAGTGACCAGGACCCAATGGAGTGCTGGTAATGTCTAACAGTAAGCTCTTAGAGGTGAGGTTGCTGTTGTTAAGTGCCTTTGAGTTGGTTCGACACACTTAACCCATAGCAGCCCTGTATAGGGTTTCCAAGGAGTGGCTGGTGAGCTTGAACCACTGACTTTGCAGTCCAGCGCACTAACCCACAGCACAACACCAGTACTTCTTTAGAGATTATAGGAACTATGATTTGTAGCACTTGCAGATTTATAGGGTGTAAATACTCCCACTATAGCCAATTTAAAAAAAAAATGTTTTTAATGTGAATTATATGATAGTTTACATGGGAGAACATTAGTTTTACATTCATCCTATGTATATCGCTTCATTGCCATGGTTACAATCCCTTCCATGCATCATCAACCAACCAAAGGATATACCCTGCAAGCCTGCCCACATCCCCTCCCCAGGTTGTCAGCACACAACCCCTCTCCCTCTCTGGGTCTAGAGTTCCCAGCTACTCCATACTCCATCTGTCCATGTCATTGTCTCTGCCTACATCTCTGGCGTCACTGTTTCTCTGGGTAGGGTCCTGCACTCAGCTCTTCTCCCTTGATGGTCCCAAGGACCTCCACTCCAGTACTGCAAAGTCAACCACTCCCCCTCCTTTTGCTACAAAATGTCTACCTTTACATTTCCAACCCTCACAGTTAGTCCTAATAACAATTATTCACTATTGTACCACAAGAGATCTATCCCTATCCTTTCATCAGCCCCGCCCAGACAGACTGGATGCTACTCAGTGGAGATTCTACCTTCCTCAGTACTCTCTGGATCTATGCTCCTTCTTGAAAGCTTGTAAGCCATTCACTTCTTGCCTTTGTAGCTCCCCCATTTTGGGTAGCAAACCAACATAGCCAATTTTAAGGGACCAACTTGATGTCACTAGATGCAGCACCAGGAAAATATGTACAGTTATATATCATTATATGAGAGTAAGTAAAAAAGTATTGTTAGCAGGGTTCGGGTTCTTACACGCATGAGTTGATTCAAGAAAAAACGTAATTAAACATGCCTTTGCTATCAGGGGATGACTGCAGACAAGTTCTCTCAGGAATACAGTAGTCTTAGATTTGTGGTTGTTGTTGTTAAATGCCATGAAGTCATTTCCAGCTCACAGAGACCCTGTATGTTCTGAGAACAGCTGGTGGGTTTGAACTTCCAACCTTTCAGTTTAAATTGACCTTGTGGTCCAGTGCTTTATCCTACATCGGCACACCAGGACTCCTTAGACTCTTTAGGGTGCCTTAAGGAAAGGGTTCAGTAAAACAGCAGCTTCTAAGAGGATCTGCTGGGCCTGTTAAATTCAAGGCCGAGAGGTCAGTATAGAAGGGTACAGGGACTGCTTCTGGGGATTCCAGAGGATTATCGAAGGACACAGGACAATCACGGGGACTTATGAGGAAGAAGTTGTCAGGAAATTGAAAACTGCATTGGTGAGAAAAAGGTTTGGAAAGTTGTGCTGAGGAATTTTTTTCCCCATCACAATAATGCATCAGCTAGGGTAGCATGGTTGTCCTACACGAATTTGAGAAATCTTACCCTGTCCACCCTGATCTTGCCCCTTCAGACTTGTTTTTGTTCCCCCCCCCCCCAAAAAAAAAAAAAAAACATTGAAAAGGAGCATGATTTGAGTTCCTTGAGGATGCCAAAATTGCTGTTTTGATGTGTAAATCAAAGAGCATTGAATTCTTTGGAGAAGTTTTGGAGACATGGAAATACAGCCATCAGAAGTGTGTAGATCTGAAGCACATACATGAAACAAATGCTTCCTATTTTGCTATTTTTGTTTCATAGAGATTTCCATGATTTTGTAGGTAATGTTTTTGTTGTGAAGTGCTGTCGAGTCGGTTCCAACCCATAGACACCCTGCGTAGGGTTTCTGAGGAGCAGCTGGTGAGCTTGAACAGACAACTTGAGGTTCAAACTGACTTTGCAGTCCAGTGCATTAATCCACAGCACCACACCAGGGCTCCAATGATTTTGTAGAAATACATACTAAAAACAATGTTTTATTGTGAATTGGGAAAAGGTTTACTGAGGAGATCTTCAGTTTTATATTCGATGTTTCACAAATCTTTTCTTTCAACTCCTTGTTTGCAATCTCTCAGTGTAACTTCTTCACAATGCTGCCTTCCTCTCTCCACTCCTCCTTCTGTCCACCAGAACTTTATCCTCAGGTAAATGCTGCTGTTTTAAATCTCAAATGGTTGATTATTCTAGACTCGACTCGTAGTGACCTTATATAATTTTCCAAGATGGACTGGTGGGTTTGAAATGCTAACCTTGAGGTTAGCAGTCCAATGCTTATCTTATAGCATCACACAACTGCTAACCATAGATCACCATTATTGCTGGATTGTGTACAGAGCAGTATTTTTATTCTGTTATCTTTACAAACTGCCTCCCATTTCTTCCCATGGCTTCATCCTTTTGCCTATCTTATTATTATTATATATTGCCTTCCCCTTCACGCAAGTTAACACATGTCTACCCTCTAGTCAGTGATTTACCCCTGGTAAATCCCATCCCACCCCTGGTAATCATCAAAGACTGTTTCTTTTAATGTAAAAACCTTTTCTTCACTTTTTACAAAAGTGGTCTCATATATTATTTGTCCTTTTGTGATTGACTGATTTCACTCAGCATGCTGCTCTTCAGGTTCCTCCATGTTATGAGATGTTTCAGGCATTCATCATTATTCTTAAACATGGAATCGTTTTCCACTGTGTATGTAACATTATTTGTTTACCCATGCTTCCATTGATGGGCACTTAGGTTGTTTCCAACTTTTTGCTATTATGACTAGTGCTGTGATGAACATGGGTGTGCATATGACTATTTATGGCACAGCTTTTATTTCTTTTGTTCTTTTATACTTTTTTTCCTTTGTTTCATCTCAAGATTGCAATCTCCATGCGACAACAGTTATCCCGTTTCTGTCCTGTGGTTCCTATTTGCATTCTATCCACCTTCCCACCCTTTCTCAACTTTGTCCTTAGGAAAATGCTGACCTTTTGATTTTGAATGGCTGACTTTGGTATAGGATCTATACCAAGTAGAGGGATAATTGAGTCATATGGTATTTCTATTTCCCACTTTTTGAGGAAACACCATACTGTTTTTCAGAAGAGTTACACCATTTTGCAGTCCCACCAGCAGTGTATGACGGTTCCAATCTCTCCACATCCTCACAGCATTTGTTGTTTTCTATTTTTTTTAAATTTTGTTATTAATTCTGTGTTAAGAGGATGTCTCATTGTTTTGAATTGCATTTTTCTAATGGCCAATGAACACGAGCATTCCTTCATATGTTTCTTGACGTCTTGAATGTCTTCTTGGTGCAGGACACTTCCCTAGATGAAAGATTCTTTCTCTGTACGTAAGAATAAGGAAGCAATAGAACAGGCTTATCATATATGCAAGGAATTTATTAGGAGTACCTTGGCAAGGGGAGATGCAGAGGGCTTTTGGAGTAACGCAGCACATGTCTTACTTGAGCAAGTTTTAGATGATACAATTATACTTTTTACTATGATAGTGAGAGAAATGTGGGAACAAAGAAACTGGGCGGCTCTTCCTGGAATTTGTCCAGTTGTGAGGGATTATGCTAAGTGGATGTGTGCACAACCTTTATACAAGATGGATTCTGTTGTAAAAGCTTCTGGGATGCTGATCATCACTCATTATGGAATGTATTCCACAGTGTTCCCAGTTGGAAGGTTATATCTGGGTCACGGTTGGAGATTGCCTACATGCTTTGGATCAGATTCAAGTTTGTTCTGGCTTCATGAGTTT